TACTCTAGTTTGCAATAAGTTTTCTTTACATGTTTCTTTTTTTTTTTTTTTTTAATTGTTTCAGTTAGGAGCTGGAGAAAAAAGGTCCTGGCTAGTGAGCAAGTCAGGGTATGTTGGCTCTTTTGGATTACTGGATATTTTTAGATATTGGAAGCTAGTCTTGAGAGTCATAAGCCCTGGCTGGTGGGTGGATCAATTTTCAGGTGGGGTGAGATCAGCCCAGCAGTGCAAAAGGCCACAAACAGATGACAAACTACTAGCTGCCAAGGGAAGAGAGGGCAGACGATCTCCCCTGCCCTGGCTGCATATCTCTTCTGGTGATGGATCTAGCCAGGGCAGGTTTCTAAAAGTAATACACCATATGTTCCAAGAAAGTGGATCGACTGAGATCGATTTCAGTGGAGCTCTGCTTCCTTATGCCAGGATCTTTCCCAGTATATCCCAAACAAGCAGTGTGTGCTTGCTTTTTCCTCCTTGCCTTATTTATCTTTTGAAGTCTTTAGAAATAGTCCACGGTCCTCAGAGGCCCCAGACTGAAAGCTGAACCTCCAGTACGCTCTGTTGGTGACTTGCATAATGGTTGGAAGTGCAATGCTGACTGCCCTGACCACTCCTGGCAATGCTCTGGGGCAGGAACTTGCTGCTTTCCTGTTGATCCCTAAGGCTGACCAGAAGTCTTGGGTACCACTGTCATGGGATTCTTACTCATGGCATAGGCCTGGGGGATCCTTTGGAGGGAAGTTTGCGGGGGGGGATATCTGCACTGTCTAAGCTAATCAAGCAAGAAGATTCTTTTCATGTGTAACTGAAGTGAAGCTCTTCTGTCAGCAGCAGTGCTTCCTCAGAGCAGGAGACATTGGGTGTCCATGGTATAGAGTTGGGTTAGTCATGTTGCTTAACTTCAGCACTGTTATAGGAAGCACCAGTGAATTGCTGTTAGGATCCTAAGGTTCTTCAGGTTGCAGAGGACCTCAGGAGGTCATCTTGTCCAGCCTCTGGCTGAGGTAGCCTGGAACAGCGTCCAGGGCTGCCCACAGACTACGTGTTCAGCTTGTAACAGGTAGAAATGACACGGTTGGTGAGTACTCTGGACTTAAATGTATTTCTGAAAACTCAGAAAAGGCATTTCCTAGGGCACTCACCTGTTTGCAAACTCACATTTTTCCACTACACTTATTTAGAACCTACAGATTTACGTAATCTTGTATTTCCCCCAGGGATTTCTCAAAAGTATTTATCTATAGCTTCCAAAAGCTGATAACCTCTAAGGTGGGACAGCTATCAGTTTTTCCTATTCTCCCACATTTGTATGAAAAATGGTTTTGTCAGTTTGGGATTGGTTGTTTTTCATGTGTATTTAAGAAAAGAAAGAAAAAAATCCCAGTTCAAAAGGTAAAGATTTGCTATAGAGTGTAATGAGATTTTACACACCAAAACTTTCTGCATTTCATTGCAGCATGCCCATAATTATATGTATAGATACGTATGTGTGTTCTGCGTGTATGTRTAAGGAGAGTGATTGAACAGGAGACCTTTACTGCAAGAACAAACAAATGAACCTGGTCTCACAAGTGGCAGATACTTCATCCAGCTTGTTCTAGCTTCATCCGTCTTGTTTACCAGCCAATTTGTTCCTCTCTAGGGCTTTATTTTGTCCACAAGGACAACCAATATTTTGCAAGTAAGCACTGCTGCATCCTCTGCTCCCCTTTGCTTCCTGTCCACACATTACCCATGGGAGAAGATTGAAGAGTCGGTGCCAATTGAAACACTGTAAGTAAACAAACCCATTGTAAAGCAAAATTGTGCTGAGCAGGAGTGGCCTGTTGCTGAGAAGTTTGAAAAGTGGTTGTGTTCTTGCTGGGAAGGCTCCACAGTGCAGAGATTTCTGTCCTTTGTGCTCCTAGGCATTACAGCTTTTGGTCCAGTGCCATGTGTATAAGAGCCCATGCATTAGGCAGCTTTTGAGTCAGTTGCTCTTTTCCTCTGGTTGAGACTTCATTGCCAAACAGCAGTCCAACGTGATGCTTTGCAGTTGGAGGAGCTAATTAAATCTAGTCCCATTAAATCTACAGTGATGCAGATAATGCAATAGCTAGAGAGCAGTTCTGGTCTGGCACGGCAGCAGAGTACCTAGATGTAGATCCTAGATGGATTTAGCCTCTGTCTGTTTTTCTTGAACTGAAAATGAACCAAGTAGACCCTATGTCCATTACCTGCCCCAGTCAGAATTGTGGCACCAGTGTTGCTTTCCAGATACTGCCATAAAGCCCAACACAGAGCTGCTTTCCCTACAAGACAGCAGGTATGGACAGTGTCACACAGAGCCTCTGTAGCTGGATGGAGGAAGATACCAGGGTTAGAAATACAGGGAGGAACGTGCTGCTCGTTCATGTTGGAGGACTGTTTGTCTGCTCCATCATCCCAGAGAACAGGGACTGCTTCCAAATTCAGCCAAGGAATTGCTTGAAGTGTGGATAGGCCTGGAGCAGACACTTTAAAAAGACCAGCCTGACCCCATCCTGATCCTACAGAGTCTTCCACAAAAGTGGAGGAGCACAGGCAGTCAGAACTGAGGAGCTCCATCCATCCATGTTGTCTGGTTTCCAGAACTGGTCCGTTTGACTCAAGGAGGGCCAAAGAGATTTCRAGTAGGGCAGATTTCCAGTTTGGCAGCCAATTCATTCCAGGGGAAGTTCTTTGGCCTCAGTTCTGTGTTGTCTAACAGTATAAGGATTGGGGGAAGGTGGGCAGCTTTAGCCAACACTGACAGCTTCTGAAAATCCTATTGATTTCTTTGTCCTCTTGATCTTTGTCTGAGCAAGGCAAAAGGGGTCTGATATACAAGTTGCACATCTCTCCTCCAAATCACTCAAGCCCAAATTAAAATGATTACAGGAAACCACATCTGCAGCCAGAGTGAGGTGTCTGTGGACTGATATCCTACCATGGAACAGCAGGAGGGGAGCTACAGGAAAGCTAGACGGATTACCACCATTCCCCTTTGGCACTGGGGATTCAGACATGAATGCAGAGGGGAGGGTGTGTTTCAAACACTCGGAGGGCAGCTCTGGACCAGGATGCCAACACAAGGAACGGATACAACAGCTCACCTGTTAGAATTGCCCTGGAAAGAAGTTGTATTTGATGTGATACCTTTTTCCTTGCTCAGACCCAAGGACATTTTGTACATGCATGTGTCCTCCTACATACTTCTCCATTTGTGCTATTTATTTCCAAAGTGCTGTGTCTGCATGGTCACCTACCACGTTCTCTGTCCTTTTTTTGAGGGTGAAGCATATGGTGCTGTATTTGAAATAGTCTAATGATGTTATTGTAGCATCGTTTCTTTTTGCTCAGTTCCATTCCTTCAGGTCCTCTCTATTCCTTGGCCATTATTTTAATAGCTGATTTGCCTTTCCCCTCACTTCTAGTCTATTGCAGCTTCGTCCATCCTAAGCACAATAGCTTTCTTTCTCATGTTAGTCAAAGCACCAACCTAATGGATAACCAGAGGTGCTTATTTCTGCAAAACCTTCTGAGTTATACTACACAAAAAAAAAAAAAAAAAAAAAAGCATGAAAAAGAAAGTATACAAAACTTTATTGTCACATTTTACCTATGGAAAATCTTCTATAGTCTTTTTAACTAAAAAAGAAGAATTCTAGATAAAAAATAAATAATAACAAATATATCAGGTGTAATTAGACAGTTTTTGCATGCGACATATCTCTGCAGAGGCAGAGCTAGTGGCTGCAAGATTGTTTCGAAGAACTGCAAGTTTTTAGCATCGCTCTTGGTTCCTTTTCCTCTGCTGCTTGCTGAAAGAAAGAGCCTCCAGATCTGTTTACCAATGACTGAGCTCTGCATTTTTTTACTGCTCCCATTTCTAGGCTGAAAACTGTTAGCACCACCAGACCTTGAGTCAACAACTTCCTGGGGAACAAAACAGGTAAATCTGCTGAGGTTTTCAGTTTTGATGAGTTAGCAGAAACAATACCTTTCCTCTTTCCTGCCTCACAAGAATTGCTTTCCTGGCAATTCCTGCTTCTTCCTCTGCAGCACCAGGTATTTAGCCCGAGGACTTCTTACTCTGGTTATTGCTAATTTATTTCTTTACTTGATCAAGCTCCACTTGATCAGAGCTTGACCAGACCCTGTTTCATGAGCCTGAAACCTGGGTCCTGTGCCCCAGAGTCRTATTGACTTTGACATGCTGTGTCATATTGACTTTCTTCAGGTGGGAGGTCTTCTAGGTGCACTTGGGCCATGACCTACCAAACCCCTGGTAGATGCTCCTGTTGGGTAAGTGGGTTGGCAAATGTCTTGGGTCCTGTGGCTTGCTACAGGTCAAGATGGGGACACAGTGCTTAGCTCCAGGCATGACAGATCCATGTAGATGCTCTTTCTGGCTTTTGCAAGGGGCAAGCAGATGTCCCAAGATACTCTGTGGCTCACCAGTGGGCTGGGAGGACCACAGGGGCAGGGGGTTGTGAAAGCTGCGCTCTCTCCATGAGTCCGGAAGCTCCAGCGGAGCGCGGCACAGAGCTGAGCAAGCAGCTGCTGCTCCCTCTTCCTCCAACATGTCCCTGTCTCTTTTGTAAACACAGAGACGGAGGCTCCTGTTGGCTCTGGCCTTCGCCCTCCTCCCCGCTGAAGGGACGCGCTGCAGGGGAGGAGCGGGCAGCTTTGAAGGAGGAATTGCGYGCTGCTCCTCGGGCGGCTCAAGCGGAAGGAAAAGCCCTCTCCAGAGGCTGGGGAGGATAAACSACCTTAACATGGGAACAGGAAGCCCTGGGCCCTGGCAGGCACCAATCAGGCCCGGCTGTGGGAGGGAGGGCCGTGCTGGCAGCGGTGGCAGCCAGGATGGCGGGTGCGGGCTGGGAGCGGGGAGACGCCAGGCCGGAGCTGGGCTCCGCGCCCTGCTAGGGGTCCAGGCGCAGCGGGGCGGGAGGCCGGGGCCATGTGAGGGACGGGGATCCCCTCGAAGACGGTGGCAGATGGCCGAGGGCAGCCAGGCTGGCGGCGCCCTCCCGCCCGAGCCCCCGGACGGCCAGGACGCCGCCAGCATCCGAAACCTGGGTCCCGGCCTTGGTGCCGCGGAGGGACACGCAGGTAATGTGGGCAGAGTCTGGGGCCGCCGCACGCCCCCATGCAGCCGGTGAAACCGGGACTCCCGCGTTCGTCRCTGTCCATCGCAGGCACCTGCCCAGCCCTCCTCCATCACCTCCATCCTTGCACCTCACCTGGGCAGGTTAAGCAGGGRAACTGCTGCCCGCTGGGGTCGGTGTATGAGGGGCTGGTTGGATGCATCCGAGGAAGGATGCTCTGCCAGGTGGGTGGCATGAAAGAGCCACACGGGATTTGCCAAGCGGAGCTGAGTGCCCTCATGCGTGTTTGGTTGGTCTCCCCTACCTGGGGTACTTTCAGTCCAAGAGGTTTGTTTCAGAATTGCGTGTGGGGCAGCACAGGCTGCCCACTGCTCTTGCAGCCTCACCATGTCTGCTCATGGGTCTGCTCAAAGTGCTGGTACAGCCATAGAACCCCATGCAGAGGATTTACTTGCATGATTATACTCATGCTGGGGAACTCAGGCTGCAA